TTGGCTACGTTGGAATGTCTTCTAAGAAGTGACGAAGCCATTCTGCTTCTTCTCCTGTTTTGTCTAAAGCGTTGAACTCAAATTCCATGTGGATCATGCGATACATGTTTATTTTATGGATTTTCAAGAAACGGCAGAGCCTCCCATAGTAAAGACATATCCACTAGTGGATTTTAAATCTTTAATATCCGATATCCAATTGGCATCATAATAACCTTCTAGTATTGCAGGATATCAAGTAAAGTTCAAACCATGATTGCGGGTAAATCTTAGATATCTAAGAACTTGAATAATCGCTTTCCAATAGTCTTATCTGGGGTTACTAGTGTATCTACTTAATTTACTGACAGTATAAACTATATCAGGACGAGTGCAATTCGTTAGGTACATTAGACTTCCAATGATTTTGGAGTATTTTAGTTGAGACACCGCATCGCCTTTATTTTTCGATAAATAAAGGCTAATGTCTACAGGTGTCCTTGCTACATTTATATTATCCTTGATATATTTACCAAGAATTTTCTCAAAATAATGAGATTGAGATAAGGCATATCCATCATATGTTTTAGTAATTTTCATTCCAAATATTATATCTATGACCCCCATATTTTTTATATCAAATATTTTGTTGAGCATTTGCTTAGTTGATTTGATCATGTTTTGACTGCTTCCAATGATAAACATGTCATCCACATAAAGACAAACGATAACATAACCTTTGTCAGTGTTTTTAACATAGATGCACTTGTCACATTCGTTTGTCTTAAACCCATTAGTAAGCATAGCATGATCAAATTTTTCATGCCATTACTTAGGTGCTTGTTTTAATCCACAAAGAGATTTTACAAGCTGACAAACTTTCTTTTTTTGCCCTGGCACTGCAACCTCTTTGGGTTGCTCCACATAGATCTCTTTATTTAGATCACTGTTTAAGAAAGCTGTCTTAACATCCGTTTGATGTATCTCTAAAATATACAACACTGCTATGGTAATAAGCATACAGATAGATGTTATTATTATCACAGGGAAATATGTGTCAAAATAGTCCAGACCTTCCTTTTATTTGTAACCTTTTACCACAAGTCTTGCTTTATATTTGTCTATTGAACCATCTGCTTTCAATTTTCTGTTGAATATCCATTTATATCCAAGAAGTTTAGAACCGGGTAGAAGATCCACCAATTCCCAAGTATGATTTTGCATGATGGATTCAATTTCATTATTAACAGCATCTTTCCACAAAGGTGCTTCAAGACCTACCATTACTTCCTTAAAGCTTTGAAGTTCATTTTCTAACAGGTATGTCAGATAATCTGGACCAAAGGATTTTGATATTCTTGCTCTCTTACTTCGTCTTGGCTTATCATCAGTTAAATCCTGTTGGTCGAGACCGTTATTAGTCTCTTGTGTTTGATTGTCATTAATCTCTTGACTTTGCGTACAATCATAAGTTTTTTTATGTGAACTTAATTCATGTCCTTTCTTGTAAGGAAAAACATGTTCAAAAAACACAACATTTCTTGACTCTATAATAGTGTTCACATTTAAATCAGGTATTTTTGATTTATAAGTCAGAAACCGATATGCAATACTATTATGAGCATAACCAATAAACACATAATTCACTATTTTTGATCCTATTTTAGTCTTTTTTGGAACAGGAACTTCAACTTTTGCCAAACACTCCCACACTTTTAAGTATTTGTAGGAAGGTGGTCGATCTTTCCATAATTCATAAGGAGTGCTGTTGGTTTTCTTGTGGGGTATTCTTAAGAACATAATAACATGGCATTCATCATTTCTTTAAGGGTTCTATTCTTCCTTTCAGCAATTTCATTTTGCTGTGGAGAATATGGTGCTGTAGTTTGGTGAATAATGTCATGTTATGCACAAAATTCATTTAATGGTGCATCATATTCACCACCTCTATCACTTCTAACCATTTTAATGGTTTTACCAAGTTGATTTTCAACTTCAGTTTTGTAGAGTTTAAACATTTCTAAGGCTTCATCTTTACTTCTAAGCAAGTATACATAACAATATATTGTGCAATCATCGATAAATGTTATGAAATACTTCTTGCCTTCTCTAGTTTGAACAAATTTAAGATTACACATATTAGTATGAATTAATTCTAGAGGTTTGATTTTTCTTTCAATCGATTTACATGGAGCCTTAGTTAGTTTCGCTTCTACACAAATCTCACATTTGTGATTAAGATCAATTTCAAACTTTGGTATATAATCCATACCAACGCAAAACATTAAAATTCGCATGTCCTAATCTACGCCATAAATTTGACTCAAAAATATAAACAAAAGATGTGTTATTCTTATTGATAGAATTTACTTTTAATTTAGTGTAGTCTTAAATATTGAAATATTTTATTGTATTTCAATATTCAAGGTTGGAGACTCAAGATATGAAGAAAAAAAAAATTTGATGTATATTTTTTTTAAGTAAGTGTAAAAATGCATTGCATTAGCATTCTTTGGTTAATTTTATTAAGGGGTTTTTATTTTTATTTATATTTATTTTTTATAGAGGTTAATTTTATTAGGTTAGACTAAGTTGGGTTTGTATTTCATAAAGTTCATGATACTAGATAATTTGGTTTACTAGGTTTTAATTTTTCTGGTTTAAAAGATTTTTGTTCAATTACTTTAACTAAATAATAAAAGAGGTTATTTGTGTACTCTTATTGAAATTTCAATTTTCAAAACTTGCCTCACTTGTTTTTTCTTGATATCATGATTTTGAAGAAGACAAAAATAAAATAAAATAAAATTTGCAAAACCCCACAATTACATGTGTGCCCTCTGCATATATGATTGCTTAGGCAACATTGTTTCATTGGGCTATTTTTATTGTATTGGGTTTTCAAATCATGAATATTTTTCGAAAATCATATTCTTGATTAATTGAGAAACCATATCATTTAAAAAATAGCAACAAGATACTAAAGTGGAAAATTGACTTATTTCCTATCAGAAATTATAGTAGAAAATCATTTGATTTTTGATAATACTCCCCAATGAAGACAATTGGTTGAATCCTAAGACAGACTCACACGGATCCATCTAGATTATGGAAATGTCCATAACAAGATCAATGATTGTGAAACTCATAAATACTTAACGAATAAAATAAGTCAAAGATTCGGATTTTTAGTGATGTGTTACAATATCCATTAGAATGGAAATTTTCATTTTGGAAAATATCATTTCAATGGAAATTATGAAAATTATTGTCATATTAGTGAAAAACTGTACAAATTCATAATTTTTTTCCATCAAGCTAAAATAATATTTTTAAAACATACCATTGAAATGTAATTTTTTTCTTTCAATTTTAGTCATATAATAAAGAGAATCTAAACGAAAACACGATAAAAATAAGTGAGCTCATAAATATGAATCTAGAAAATATATGAGATTAATGATCGAGTTGATTCTATAATTATAAATTCATTACATAACTGTAAAATATATCCAATTTTATGCTTTTGTTTTTGGATCTTGTGTTATTCTTATTCGACAGTCCATTGTCTTGGAATTGCTATTGCGCATGAGATTATTTCATAAGTAATACAATTATTTTTCAACACCACAAACATACAATATTTTAACTTGATCAGGAATTATTAATCCAAAATTTTTAAATATTGTATCTGATTGTTTATCTATAGAAATATTTAATTTCAACTCAATTTTATATGTACTTTTTAAATTTTTAAAAACTAAGGTTATGTTTGGTTGTGTTCTGGAAATGTGATTCCAGGTGTGTTTTTGAGTTGTGTGTTTGTTTATAGTTTTTAAAAATCAATTCGACGCTTTGCTTTGAAAACTCTGTCACCCGGATGTCCCACAAGACGTCCTTGCCAATGGATATTTTTTTTTAAAAAAAAAAAATAATAAATTGACACATGTTATGTTTTATATGTTAAATAAAAAATATTTTTCGAATTTTTTAAATTATTTTGATGAGTTTTGTATAAAATTTTGAGTTGTGTGTTTGGTTATGAGTTGTTAATTTTTGTATCAAATATCACATGTCAGATCAAAAATTCTCTACTCAATTTAAAATTCTTTTCAAAACTCATAACCAAACAAATTTTCTACACTCAAATCATAATTCCAAAACCCACAAACTCAAAATACAATTCATATCCTCAAATCATATTTACAAAACTTTACCAAACGCAGTAAATGTTTACAAATTGCTTTCAAAATAATAAATGTAAATCTCAAATTATCTCAAATAAAAATTAAAAGACTATATGAACCCCAGATTCTATTATATATCAATTGAATAGGGTTTACCTAAGGAATTTCATGGTTTGCCTTAATAAAAATAGCATGAAAATACTCAATTAATCATATATCAAGCGAGTTATTTGTCTAATTTAGTGTTATGAGAATTTGACACTAAGGCTCCATTTGTTTCAACGTAAAATATTTTATAAATTGATTTTATACAAAAAAATGTTTTTGTTTTTATTTTTTGGCATTTGGTTGACACTTGGAACAAAAAACATTTTATTGTCTAAAAGAGAAATTTTGATTTAATAAAGTGTAATTTATGACTTTTTGTTGAGTTAAAAAATTTATTTGAAAAGGCTAAATGTGCTAAAAAAGTAGCGAGTAAGAGTTGACTTACGAAATTTTTAGAAGTAAGTCATTATTTGAAAAATGATACAAAAATATTTTTTTTTAAATATTTTACTTTCTTTTTGTTCAACCAAATAACAGAAAATGAGTAAAACGTCAAAAACAAACAGACTCTAAATTAACTTATTTTTTGTATTTTGTAATCATGTTATAATTGAGTTCGTAATAAAAATTAATAAACTCTAATAAACTGGCATTTATCGTGTATTAACGTGTCATACTGAAAATTAACAGCTTAGTGGTCCATAAGTCTTCCCAATTTCATTTTCATGAATTTGGGCCTCCCACCATTCTAGCCCAGCACTTAAAAACTTCCCTCCTCCCAAGGACCCCCTCTCTCATCTCATCTTCCAATCTGCTTCAAAAACACAACTCACACTCTCCCTTCTCTCTCTCTCTTTATCTCTCTCTAAAATACATCACATCACAACACAACAATGGAACCATGGCTCGACGACCTCGCCGACGACTTACAGAGCATGAGTTTCAACTCCACCACCACCGCCACCGACATCCACCGCAGCACCAGCTCCGGCTCCGAGACAACCTGGACTGCCGCTTCCTCCTCCGTCAGCCACCTCGGCCCCGCCATCGCCACCGCAGCCGCAAAGCCCCACACTCCCTCCGGCAATCCTTGCTGGGACGCAATCCGCCGCGCCAGATCCGAATCCTCCTCGGGCCAAATCTCCCTCCCGGACCTCCGATTCATCCACCGCCTCGGCTCCGGCGACATCGGCTCGGTCTACTTGGCTGAGCTCAAGTGCGGAGCCATCAACGGAGAAGCAGTGTTCGCAGCGAAGGTGATGGACAAGAAGGAACTAGCGAGCCGTAATAAAGAAGGAAGAGCGAGGACAGAAAAGGAAATTTTGGAAATGTTGGACCATCCGTTCTTGCCAACGCTCTACGCGACGTTGGAATCGCCAAAGTGGTCCTGCCTACTCACTGAGTTCTGCCCCGGCGGCGACCTCCATGTCCTCCGCCAGCGTCAGCCCTGTAAACGCTACCCCGAATCCGCCGTCAGGTGCGCACGTTAGCTCTTCTCACTCACACTCTTCCACTTCCACTTCCACTTCCACTTCCACACATACATACATACAAATTTACTCCTTCCGTCTGGACACTTTGTTATTTTTTATTTTATGCTATTCACTTTTGTGTTAAATTTTTATAATAGATTTAAAATAAAATTATGCATTTATTCGATAATGTGATGAATTTTTTTATCAAAATATTTTTGAATTAAAAATTGTTATAACTATAAAATTTTATAATAATAGTATTTTTTTATTTTTTATTTTTGTAATTTTATTATAAATTACAAAAATAAAAAATATTTTTGTAATACACATTTTAAAATAAGTCATGTATTATGTATTCCTTTGGGATATAAATTGATGTTTTAACTATTTTAACTTGGAGTTAAAAGTTTCATTTAAGAATGATTTTTTGTTTTTTTTTAATTTTATAAGAAAAAATTAAAATAATTATAATTTAGATATGATATTTAATTTTTAAATTTTTTATAGATATTTTAACCCTATAATATTTTGACAAACGAGTGGGATATTATATTTCTCCTATATTATTCCGTCTAAAAAAGTGGGTATATTATAGTGAAACGGATACGGAATTGATTGGGTGTGTCGAGGTGTACGTTCTTCATCACCATTGAGACACAGCTGATGACAGTGATGTAGCGTGGTGGTGAAAGGAAAAATTATTGGTTCGTGAGATATACATACGTTAGTTAAAAAGTCATTATATATTATTATATTATTTTTTTATTTTTTAAATATTTTTTAATAAAAAATTATTAAAATAATTTATTCTTAAACAAGCCTTTAATTACAAATCACTATATATATATATATATATATGTTTTTATTTTTTGATTATTTAATATAAAATTACAAAAATTTAACCTTCTTTCATCGATTATAATTTATGTGGCGCTGCTTGTGACCATCCAATAAGGTGGTAAGGTGGGCGTAACCACCTTGGCAGGAGTGGGACTCACAAGGTTATCATCTCCACATGTTGTCTCTGAAAATTGTGTCAAGTGATCGATTTACTGTGTGTGTCGTACACCGTCTCATTTTCTTCAGAGACTGTTTTTTGGGTCACAGTAAAAAAAAATGTTAAAACTTTATATTTTAAAATTTATTTATAATAATGTAGTTAAACAAAATTAAAACATATGATATTATGTTATTGTGATTATAATTATGAGAGGTTTTCTTTTTTTTCTTTATTTTTTTTTTTTAGTCTTAAACATTTTCAAAAAAGAAAAAGTAAAGTGAAAAGTTTTGTTGGGTGGAGTCGCAATTGCACGTGTTCGTGTCCACGTAAGGTCGAGGTCTACGCCTTTATTTTCTACTGGCATCCAATAATATTAAGACACGTATTGACTGTCACATGGTAATGAGTCCAAAATCTTGCAAGCACGACCATGGGGGTCACACTCACTGTTATAGTAAAGGGCGTCTTCTTCATTTAAATTACAATAATGCCAAATAGTCAACTATCCACGAGCCTTTTTTTTTAGGAAAGCTGGCCCAAAACCTGCGTGGCCCGTGTCTGCATGACACTGTTCGGCTGTGTGGAGTAATTTTTATACACAGATAAATATATGTGGAGCAGTATATTTTATCATTGTGATTGATTTTTTCGGTAATATTTATTATATTTATGTTAGGTATTTAACAAATAATAGAAATATATATATTTATAATTTGTAGAATCATTTGGGAACAGGTTAATTTAGTAATTTTTTGACTATTTGGCTAAAATATGAGCTAAAAAAAACTAATATATTTGAGATGACTTTTTAGCATTTTACGAAAAGATGTGCAAAAAGTAAAGAGAAAAGAGAATCTTTGACCTTTTGGTATGGATTATTGACTTTTTAATTTTTTTGATGACTTTTTGACTAAAAAAATCACTTGTCAAACGAGACCTTAGTATCCAATTAACATATAATTTTTTTTTTTTTTTTTTTGACTATATGCCATAATCACCATTGGTCAAGCCATTGATTGCTTTGATGAAACGGTTGGTTTATTGCTGATTTACCGTGTTTATCATGTGTCATGAAAAATTATGTATAGATCTTGGAGCAAGTTCTGATGTCCTAATTTAATATTATTAATTAAAATTGTAAGATTCAATATTTTTTTTATTATGCATAATTTAATTATGCATAATAGTTCTAGACTACCAAATAAGACTTCGTGTGTCATTATGGATCATTTTAATATGGAATTATGTGAAACCATAATGTTATAAACATTACACAACAATCATAATATAATAAAAGATTAAGATTAAACACAATTATAAAAGAGTTTATTTTGAAAATAAATCTCACCTTACGTAATTAATTCTTGAGTGGAATATTTGGTAATTGATAAAAAAAAATTTTTTTTTTTTGTTTTGCGCGCTAAAGATGTTATTGGGGCTTTTGAAACCTTGATTGGTGAAAAATTATGATATTATCGTGGAGTACTTGTGGAGGCATGGTAGAATTCTTTAATCTTTTCAAAAATTTAATAAAAAGCTTTTCCTTTTTATAAAATAAAATAAAAAAAGCAAATCCCAAACAGACAGATTTATTAGCCTTTATTTATTTATTTTTATAAAAAGCAAAAGTATTGTTTATTTAGGGTTGGTTTGGGATGTCCTAAAAAAGTGTATACTTATTGGTGGGTTTGTGGTTGGGTTTGGGTTGGGTTTGATGTGATGTGTTAGAGAGATGATGTGATTTAAATAAAATGATGTGATTTAAATAAGATAGTGACTTTTTGACTTTTTGACTTATTTTAGTACATGCCAAACTAACCCTTAGTTATTTTTAAACACGGAATACTAGGCCATAAATTGGTGAGGGCATTTTTGTCTTTTAGCTGATTTGTCTTTTCGACATTTCGGGAAATTTGTAGTCTGACCCGCAATATCCGAAGAAGATGTCCGAAATCCAACAGACGTGGTTTTCCGTTAGGGGCATTAACTTTTGCGGGAATTCTGGGATTTTTTTTTGAAAAATGCTTGGGAGCAGTTAGTGCTCTACTAATTAAGTGGGAGTGCGTCCCGCCATTAATGATGTGATGTTTTGGTCTTGGAGTTGTATTTTTTTTTTTTTAATGCATTAGTGCTATTAGTGGTGATGTTTTTAGTGGGATGAATCATTGTTGTTTTTTTTTTCTATATTTAAGGATACCTTATTTTTTTTTGATTGGCCCTTGATTTATTCTTATTACCTTTTGGCCCCTCTTTTTTGATTTCTCTATTGCTCGTATTATTTCCAAATGTGAAACTATCAAGTAAGTGAGAAAAGTGTTAAACTAATTACAAATCAATAAATTTTTTACAGATAATTGCATCTCCCACTTTGCTGATTCGCTATTAGTTTTCTATTTACAATTCATCTTATATTCTTTATTTCCAAATTTAATGATTTGCAGTTAATTTTCCATTTGTAATTTATTTTATATTCCTTGTTTACAAATCTATTTCTTTTGCTGCAAAATATTCTTACTTCCCTTTTTGTAGTATTATACAAAAAGATAAATTTACCCTTCGAACATTTTGAATTCCTCAAAGAAATGATTAAAAGGAAAAATTAGAAATTTAGATATACAAACAAAAGTGTAGTGAGAGCGGTGAAAAGAGGTGTTTTATAACAAACTCCAAGAAAAATAATTATATGAGTAATATTACAAACTTATCCTTATCAACTCGTAAATTATCCATAAATTAATATCCATCACACCCTATATGGATTCCACACTATACAAATTAATTTTTACCATACAATCACCCACCCAAAAAATTCGGGTGGGTAAGTCTGGATTACCAGACTTTTCCATTATATATTTAACTTGTGTATGGACATTGGGTTTTTCTTTTAATTTGTTGGTTCTTTTTCTTCTACTTTTTATTTTTTTTTTTTGAAGTGAATTTGACATATCTAGTTTATGTTTGCATGTTGGATATGTTATAGAATATTAATTATAGTATAAAAAGTTATTTCGGTTGTTAAACTACCTATATAAATTATGTTCAATAATTGACTCAAATGGTCTATAATGGTAGTTTTGGTTTTTGAAAAAAATTTGGTAATAAAAGAGAAATGCTACATATCAGTAGCTTTTTATTTTGAGTAAGAGTACAATCACACACTTTTTTACAACATTTTTTACCATCTACTCAAGGACCCTACATCATCATATGATATGGGGCCACTTTCATTGTGAGTAGGTAGTAAGAAATGTTGTAAAAAAAAATATGGATATAATAGTATCTCCAATGCTTCATTAAATTTAAGTAAAATTTTGATAAAAAATTTGATTTGATATAATACACTCTAATAGTTTCATCAAATTTGGGTGGCCATTCAGCCAGTCATCCAATCTCGAGTAAATTTTTATCTGATTCATCTTAAAACTAGTTGTCCGAGAGGATATCTTGGAGGACGTTACAATCACCTACAAATTTAATGAAAAGATAAAACTCTCTTGATTTAATGGAAAAAGTAACTCTCCTTATATTTGATATTAATTTGATGAAAGGATGGGAGCTCAAATTTTAGGCATTGTTTATCAAATTTGAATTTGATCACATATTTAATGAAGGACTAGAGATAGCATAACAGGACTATTTTACTTTTAAAACTTTATGTCACAATTAATATGACATGATATGGTCTTTCTCTACTTTATTTGTCTTCAATACAAAAGGACAATTGCAAGTATTTTGTTCAACAGTGATATAAACTGTTGGCAAAAAAATCAGTGACAGACACAAAAAAAATCCTTTGTAGTGGAATTAAGACTTTAAAAAAATAAAAATAAATAAAGGTGGAAGGACAAAGAAAAAGCGAAAGATAAGTGAGAATATGCCAAAATATGGGGGGCAGATGGGCTATAACCCTGATTCTCTTCTCCTTTCACTTTGCATGGGATGGGTAGTTGCTATAAGGAGGGGCTCTAGGCATCCCCATGAAATAAACTATTTAAAGTTCCCTCTCCACTCATCACATATATGGCTTTTCTAACCAAGATACTCTCTCTCCTATCTATTTCTACACAATAATGTTATTTACACATACAAAAATAAATAAATAAATAAATAAATAAAAATCACATGATTTATATATAGGGCAAATTACCAACACTCCCCTCGAGGTTTGACTAAAATACGGATTCCCTCTTGAGGTTTAAGAAATTACATCTCGCTCTCTAAGGTTTATATTTGCATAATAAATTGCCCCATGAGATTTATATTTGCATAACAAATTACACCTTCAGTTGTTATGCAAATATAAACTCAAAGGGCAATTTGTAATTTTTCAAATTTCAGGAAAGAATTCATATTTTAGTCAAACTTGGAGCGGGTGTTGGTAATTTGCCCTTAGATATATAAATCCGACTTGCAGGACAAATAATGTGCCCTCCTATTGCGAGAGGTACATGATCGTCGTTCGTCAAATTATTCACAAAAGTTAGTTGTGTGCCCTGTTATTAGACAAGCACATGGCTACATGGCCAGTTGAACATACCTAATTATTTCTCACTAATTAAGTTTTATTTTGTTGATTTTTTTATAAAGATATATGAATAGCATTACTAATTATCAAATAATACTTCTATGTTCTTTAACTAGTAAAGGTCATGTGTATTGCCTAAAGTTGGTTGAGCATTTTAATAATGCAGCTATTGTATTGATGAGTATATAGCTGCTTCTATAATAATATTATATTATTAATAAATAAAAGAAAGAAGCCAATATATTATAATCTGGTTTTTAGAGTACATTATCAATGGGGCAATAGCCCTAAGCGGAGGACCCCATGCCTCATCATGTGACAATGGTTCTCAATTATTTTCATGCACTAGTGAAGGAGGCATTTGAGCTTTTTTATTATATTTTTTAAAATCTTATTGGAGCATCTGTATCCTGCTAAACCATACATAGTGGTGGAATGATGGGTCTTTTGCTCAATCTTATTGGGTTTTTTGATCAAGACAACTCCATCATTCTGTATTGATTTTTGGATCGTTGTGGCTCTACTTGATTAATAATACAAGTCTATTAGTCAGTATTGATCTTTAATCATGTGTTTTTTTTCTCCAGGTTTTATGCATCAGAGGTAGTGGTAGCACTAGAATATGTTCACATGATGGGCATTGTCTACCGTGATCTCAAGCCTGAAAATGTGTTAGTCCGATCGGATGGCCACATCATGCTCACCGATTTTGACCTCTCGTTGAAATGCGATTCCTCTACATCGACGCCTCAAATTTTCTCCCGTCAAAACCCCCTTGCTCCACCCCCGCCAAGTGAGTACATGTTGGACCCACCGGCTTTCACGTCTACGTCATGCATTCTTCCCAATTGCATTGTCCCTGCCGTGTCATGCTTCCATCCTAAGCGCAAGCGCAAGAAGAAGCCAGGCCACCACGGTGGGCCTCAGTTCGTGGCTGAGCCGATGGACATCCGGTCGATGTCATTTGTCGGGACCCACGAGTACCTGGCACCGGAGATTGTGTCCGGGGAGGGCCATGGTAGTGCAGTGGATTGGTGGACACTAGGGATATTTATGTTTGAATTATTGTATGGTGTGACACCTTTTAAAGGGTTGGACAATGAGCTAACCCTAGCTAATATTGTTGCTCGAGCGCTAGAATTCCCTAAAGAGCCCACCATCCCGGCCAACGCCAAGGACCTCATATCACAGCTGTTGGTTAAGGATCCGGACAGGCGAATGGGGTCCACAATGGGTGCGTCGGCAATCAAGCACCATCCATTCTTCCAAGGGGTCAATTGGGCTCTCTTGAGATGTACATCCCCACCCTTCGTTCCTCCACCATTTAAACGTGATGTTGTCTCTGATGAAAGTTGCCCGGACACCCCGGTGGAATATTACTAGTGTTAAATAGGGCATTTAAAAAAACCTCATTAACAGTTTATACAATTGGTGGGGTTAATAGTTGCATTTTGATTTTTCTTCTCCGTTTTTGGAACTTAATTTTGATTCATGAGTCATTTTGGGTTGGTGAAAATGCCTTCTTACTGTGTAAATTCTCAATTCAATAATATTTAAGTCACAGAAATAGATTACATGAAACAACCAACCATATTTACATAAAATGATTTTGCATTTATAGGTGTGAATCATAAGGATGTAGGTGTTGTTGATTCAATGATTTATTTTAAATATCATGAATTTGCATATCTCAATTTGAATCATGGGTGACAAAAGTTAGGTGTTCAATACTAGGCTCAGTATAAAATATTTAATCGATCCATTCCAAATAAGAGGCGGCTCCCCAATTTTTATTTTTATTTTTATTCTTTATAAAAATTTCACCTGCCCTTTTAATTTATGAATATTTTTACAATCAGTATATAATGACTTTTCTACGTTTATTTTTTACAATTATTCCTACAATATATATAACATCATCTCAATTATTTTACATATTACATAATAGCATCAATTCCATTAACTTATTGATTCAATATGTAAATGTCATTAATTGTTTCTACAATTATGAAAATCATAAACCTAAATTTTTATAAATTATGGAGACAAGTATGTAGATTAATTAATTTTTCTCACTAATTTTTTCTTCACCCATATCTAAGTAATTATCAATTTTCAATAAAAAAATTTAAATTTTTTTTTTTTTAACACTTACCTTGGCTCCTTAGCAAAATTTATGATTTGGTTTTAAATCATTTATGTTCACAATAGAGTAATGATATACAAACAAAAAAATCATACATAATTTTTATAAATAATAATACAACTCAGTGTATACATTTTACTTTAGAACAAAATACCCATAAAAATGAATTTAATTATAAAGATGAAATTACCACATCATTTTTATAAAACATCTTGTATAAATTTTATATATAAATAGAGTTTTTCTTCGCAATAAACTTATTGACACAAAATGTAAATTCCAACCAATGTGAATGAACCCCAAACACATTAAGGCATATATATATGTATACGTATTAAATTGTTTGGTAGGCAATGGTCCAATGCAATAATACCAAAGAAAGAGTGGGTATTTTATATCTAACTATTTATTTATCTTACATATTTGTTTAATGGGAAACATTTGTTTTCAAATTATTTGAGTTGTTAATAAAGAAAAGGTACATCTCTTATGTCATGTAGTATATATAGTCAATGGGTTTGGGGTAGGAGGTTATAGACAAAGTGAGGATGTAAACAAATGCACAAACCAAACCTACTAACGACGCGGAAGCCAGTGAGCATGCTGTGTGATGGGTTGTTCTCAAATCACGGTGGTTGGGGGGCCGGAGTTATGCTGTGGGCCATTGTCCTGATGGCGATTGTGATTGTGATGCCGGTGGGGTTGGGTTGAGTATGGAGAGAGCATGCCCCCCTCCCCCCCTCCCCCGACCCACATGAATTTGGTTTACTGTGTGGAGGGATATGTGAATGTTTGGGACTTGTTTATCAGGCCCACTCTTAAAGTTGTTGGGTTTGTTTTGGATTTGGATTACTTTTTAACTCTTATAAATATTTGAAAAAATTATTTATAAGTCTTATTAGGGAGACTTATACTACATATGATCTTACTAAAAAATTTATGTTCTCATAAGTCCTGTGGGAAGTTTGTTGCCACATTTACTCTCAATATTAGTTGTTAATATCATAAATAATTACCATAGATCATATCTATATAAACGTAACGTAACGTAACACCTATATAAACGTAACGTAACGTAACACCTACATAAACGTAACGTGACACCTATACGTAACGTGACACCTATGATCTTGGTAACCTGCAATTTCCTGACACCTATGATCTAGATCAATTGTATGTTGCCATAGATCATAGGTGTCACGTTACGTTATAGGAAATTGAATGTTGCCATAGACCATAGGTGTCACGTTACGTTACGTTTATGTAGATCATATAGGAAATTGAATGTTACCATAAATCATATTTATATGAAACGTAACATGATACCAACATAAACCAACAACATTTTCATATTCAATTTTAAAAAATAAAAACTCATTAAGTTTGTGAAACATAACGTGACACATTATGTTATGTTTATATAGGTGTCACGTTACGTTACATTACGTTTATATAGGTGTCACGTTATGTTACGTTTATGTAAGTGTCATGTCACGTTACGTTTATGTAGGATCTTGTGGAATACATTCCTATCTAAATAGGACTAGAGACTCTATAAGAAATTACACAGGACTTAGCGTACCATAAGTGTCTGAAAAAGGACTTATAAATAAGTTTCCCAAAATATTTTTTAACTCTTGTAATTTTTTATTTTTATTTTTTTGGGGGGTGTAAATAACTCTTGTAAAACTTACTATAATGATAGGGAAAGATTACAATATGTATTTGCACATTGTAAAAAAATTATATATTTTGTGAGATCAAAGTTATGATTTCTATAATGAAAGTTATAAATTTTGAAATTATGATGCGTACGTATAATTAAAGTTATATTTTTTGTGAGATAAGTTATAAGAAGAAAAAAAAAATTACATTTTTTGTGAAAAAAATATATATTTTTATGACAAAAGATATACATTTTGTGAGAAAAATTATACCTTTTGCATAAAGTAAACTCTATCTGTGCACCCAATAAAGTGTGTACATTGTAGATTTTCCCTTAGCGCGAAATGGATCACAATGTCAGAACAATATGTAAAACTTAGAAAATCCTATGGTATGTACTCTTAAATATACATATTATATGCATCTTACCATAAAAATATATAATTTTATTATAAATTGATATAATAAATTGTATAAAATTTTTTGGTTGATATTACACGAGTTTGTAATTTGGTTACGACATTTTTTGTTACACAAATTTGTGACAAAATTATATATTTTATAGTTGAAGTAACAAAAATTTTATAGTAGTAAAATTACATGATACATATGATATACACTTTTAAAAGAGTAATGCTAGAAATTTGAAATATTCTATCAAAAGTTTTACCAAATGTCTCACATGAGTGTGGGATGTGAGTCCCATGTGAATCCCACACCCATGTGAGACATTTGGTAAAACTTTTGATAGAGTTTTTGAGACCTCTAACATTTTTGCTTCTAAAAAAGACCACACCATAGCATTTGTTGTAAAACTAGCATAATTGATTTATAAGGAAAAATGCTACACATTTTAAATACAACAATGATTCATCCCCCCTTTTTCTCCCACCCCCTTTGACCCCCTCTCTCTCTCATTGGTTACCTTTTCTTTTTCTTTTTCTTTTTTTTCCTGCTCCTCCAATCACCACCAGCCACGTGGCAAAGGGGGGTGAGGGGGTGACCTCCAAAAGGGGGTCCCAAACATTATTCTTTTAAATATTTTGTCAAACACACTCACAGGAGGGTGGAGATTTGATTGACTGTTTGGTAAAATATTTTCTATCCACTGGCAATGCTGGTGATTTGTATGTGGGATCATCTTCGGTCTCATATCTGCATACCTTACGCAAAGCTTTCTCAAAATTCAGCCCAACCCAATCTTTATGGACCAAAACTACAAAATTCAGAGTTGGTTGGATTGGTCTGAGTGTACTGGGCCACAGGCCCATGTCAACCCAGAGAACAAAGTAGTAATAGTGGGAGTGAAAAATGGAGTGCACTCTTCTTCATCTCTCTCCTCCTCGAGAAAAACCCTAGAGAGAGAAAAAAATGGCGGAGACAGAGAACGAGAACGGAAGCTCCGCCGCGGCGGCGGAGGAGGAAGAGGTGGCTATTGGACCAGGTCCGGCCCCTCGCTCTCGGCCGAAGCGCCCTCTCCAATTCGAGCAGGCATACCTCGACTCCCTTCCCTCTGCCAACATGTATGTATTTTCTACACACACATACATACATTCATACGCACTATGATTTTGGCTTTTAGGGTTGAATTGTTGCAGATACGATTATTGGACTCATCTTGTTGTTTATCTAAAGAGTAATGATTTGAAAGTTTTGCTGGATTCGTGTTTTTGTTCGATTATACTTTTTTTTCTTTGAGGTTTAGTTGGTTACATTATTGGCTGAAAAAGCCAATTTTATTAAAAGAAAAAATTTATTCTTTAGCAAACCTATTTGGTGCCAAAAAAGCTCACTTAAGCCTCTCTGAAAGACTATTAGAATAGCAAAAAAGTTTGGATTGTAGGTTTTTTAGCATTAGAACAAGAAAAAGATGAGAATCATACAACACGAGACCCTTTTCACTGAATTTAATACACTTTTTAATATATTTTTTTGTATCTATTTTGAATATACTTTTTTTACCTTGATCCCAATATTATCTTTAGCATTTGCCTTAAAAATTATACCAAACAGGCTATAGATTGGATAGACTACATGCCACTTGTGACCCAAACCATTAATGCTACAGTTTTTGTAGGCATATTTTTAGCCAATAAACTAATTTTTAGCTAACTCCAAACTGAGTTGGGTGAAAAAAGTAAAAATCCTATATGGAACTAAAAGATCCATGGGTTTGTTAGTTTAGTTATTGGGTTTTGACCTGAATGTGCAATTTCTTGTATCTTTTTTTGTGGCTATAAGCTTTTGATTTTATACTGATCCAAAAGTGGGGAGAAATTGAAATTTATTTGTTTGTTTTGTTGGTTTTTAAGCATCTTTAGGGGTCTGTAATAAGATACCCTTGTTACTTTCATTACTATAAGGTTAATTTCTAAGTTCACCATTAGACTGCAGTGTTCTGTTCTCTCACAGGTGTTCATTATTGATGTGTGGTGAATCATGAATATGGTTGGTTACTTCTAAAACCATTAACTTTGTCATACAGGTATGAGAAAAGTTATATGCATCGTGATGTGGTAACACATGTTGCTGTTTCAGTAGCAGAATTTTTCATAACTGGAAGTGCTGATGGTAAGACAAAATATGCTTCATCCCTAGTCCATCACATTTTCTTTTTCGCTGACAGTTAATTTATTTTGAACGATTCTTGTATTTTCTATTGTTATTTATGAAGCACGGGTACGGGTACGAGTATTGATACTAGTACGATATGGGTACGCCGATACAGTAAAATTCAAAAAAAAATAAGGTACAGGTACGGCTTGGTACACTTGTAAAAAAATATTTATTTTTAATTTAGAGTAATGCAAAAATTAATTAAATGATTTAATTTGTTAAGGTCCAACCTATAATTAACATTTAATGCCAAATGTAAAAGTATAAATCAAAATTAAATGTCAATACATTAAATAACTTACAAACCATATCTGTGTAGTGGAAGGAAAATATTGTTTCAACTGAGGTATAGTACGACTTGGATATATACTAGGGTACGTCTGGATACGCCAAAAATTAAGAAGAAAAACCTTGAGTACGTGTTTCGTGTATTCAATACGTATGCAGAAGTACCATACGAGGTACGGTACGCCGGTAAGTACCCGGTACGAGTACGGCATGTTTTTTGAAGTACCCATGCTTCATAGATTGTTGTGTACTAAATATATCCCATGTACATCGTTTGAATTATAGGAACCTTTTCTCCCCTTGTTTTCTGAACCTTAGTTAATTTCTATGTGACTTTTGGGGTGGGAAATGTTTTATAACTTTGCTTTTGTGACCTGAAAGGGATCACACCATACAGGCAGGCTCTCGAGGTGTAAGGAATGATGTTGGAAGAGGATAAGGAGATAAGGCAACTAGTATTGAGCTGTGATTTTGTGTGTGCATGTACATTGAACAAACCTTCATGGTCAAGGTCAACGTTTCATGGAGGTCTCCAATTATTTAGATTGGTTGGAAAGATTGTTTGAAGAGGGAGTTAGTGGAACCAAGATGGTGTAGGAAATATCAGGGATAATGCTCGCTCACTTTTTATTATAGTGATTCATGGTTAATCTAACCAGTATTTTTGAAAAGTGTTGAAAGTAGTGCATGAGATGTGCATCTTGAAAAAGTTTTAATGTGATATTAGTCTCCTTTATTCAAAAGAAGAGGCTCTAAACAACTTCATAAGTCTTGTGGTGCCAATAAATTCTAGATGGAGTCTTATAGCACCTGTTGTTTGAGGGCTTGATGTTTTGGGAAAGGGAAAAAGGTCATGGTGGATTCTAGATTGATAAGTATGGATTGGGGGTTATGCATAAGATTGATTTGGAGAGAGCCTAGGATTGTGTAGTTGTGATTTTTTTTTTTTTTGATCATTGTCCAGTCAGGTTTGGAAGAAATAATGCTCATATATTGGATCATTCACCTCATTGATATCATTCTCATGCTTATTTATTATAAAGGTTAATTACACCAAGACCCCCCTCAACTATTAGCGGATATCATTTTGCCCCTCCCATCCATGAACCCGTTCATATTGACCCCCTCAACTATGAAAATAGTACAAATACACCCCTTTTGAGGGTGGTTTAGAGGGGGTGAAAGTAATACATCTTCATAGTTGAAGAGGTCAAAATGTACGGATTTCTTGATGATGGGGGGTAAGTTGTTATTCACAAATAATTGAAGGGGTCTTCATGTAATTGACCCTCATTATAATTAGAGGAAGCAACCGTGGAAAGCATGATGACATAAAATTGGCTAACAGGGTCAGTCACATGTAAGGAGGGCAAAGGGGTTTAATTATTAGTGTTATAGTTCAATTTGAATGGATTGCTGGGATATCGGACATCATAATAGGATGCTGATTTTAATTGTCAGAAAGACATGATCTCCTTTGCTATGCTAGGCTAATAGGAATGCAAGAAGATCAACAGTCCTGCCTTTAATCATGTTGAGGACAGGGCTTTGTTAAATGAGTTGTTTACATCATGTTGAGTTGTGGTTGGCCTAGTTCTTTATTGGTGCTACCATACCAATTGACTTGACCTCCGTGATATCTGAGGCTTCTATTTGTCTTAAATGAATGCGGCATGCATCATTTTGTTTGTAATGTATGCATGTCATATAATAGACATGTGTATTTTGACACAATATAAATTGCTTTGTTGGCCTGTCTTGCTTGAAGGGACTTATTGGAGAAACAGAGTCGGTTTGTTCTGACTAGAAGAGTGATAGAAATCTTGTCAATATAGCAATGAGCTTCTGACAAATATGATCTCATTGTCTGTTTCCTTAGAATTGTTTTTTTTACGTACCTAAATACTAATTTTAACTGAGATGGTTCTTTAGTGGAATATTGATGTACTAAAATTATGTAATTACCTCACCAGATCTAATCATCGTATCTGGTTATGGGTTTATTCTTTGTATTGTCTTTAATTGATTTAAATAGAATGAAATTTCATGCAATTGTCATTTTGTTGACTTCTTGCTCTTTGATTCTTCTCTTTTAGGGCACTTGAAGTTTTGGAAGAAAAAGGCTCTTGGCATTGAGTTTGCCAAGCATTTCAGGTCCCATCTTGGACCTATTGAAGGGCTTGCTGTGAGTTCTTTGTGTCTTCATTCATGTGCTTGTTAGTGTGCATGTGCTTGCATTTGAGTTCCAACTTGCTTGCCTTGGTCACACCTTCTTCTGCCCTATGTTCATGCTGAATAGCACATGAATAGTATGTGCATTTGTAATGAAGTGGTGATTTATGATGATTAGGAACATTCCACAGAGTGTCGTCTATGCCCTTTTGATGTTTGTATGTTTTTTCATTGAGGTTAGTTGTTTTCTGCTTGTCATCCCTATAATGTCCTTCTTCTTGTTTGGAAGAATTTCATAAGTTTTCAGCCAGTTCACAATTCGTACTTCCATGTGTAATGTGGGCATATGCAAAACTTTAAACCCCTTTCCTTTTTGTTTGTCTTGCTTAAAATTTATTTGGATTTTTTATTCGGATCCAGTTATTGAGACAATTGAAAGGGAGTTTCCTTGAATGGGATCATTTCTTTGTTTTAAATCATTGGGTTTAGACATAACTTCGGTGATTCTTCTTAATCTGTTAAAAATGGCACGACCTTTTTGTGATTTCTTTCTATCAAAGAATCATATTGCCTGATCTATAGACTAACGTTGAGTTATTTTATTTTAGCCGTTCATTTGGCCTTCTATCTGCCCTCTTGCAGCTGAAACTTAACATTCCTTTGGTAGTAGGGCATTTCTAGTTGCATTTCAAGTGAACTATATTACCTCATAATGCATAGAAAATGGGTGCCCATGTTTGCCATGTGAAATTTTTTACTGAACTCCATCTTTAACAGTTAATGGGCAATTTAAATGGTCATGTTGATCCTTATCAGCTATCTTTTCACTAGCAAGGTGGGAGGTTGATTCCATTATCATGTGTCAAATATGAGGAAATAGCATTAGTTGATGTGTGTTCAGTTCTTCAGTCTTCAACTTTGTGTATATCAATTTCTCACAAATTTATGATTTCCTGCTAAGTCAGCATATATTCTGCTTTCTTCTTCGCATAAAATTGTATTAATCCTTTTGTCAATTTATTATAATATTAAAAAAGCATAATCATCAGCCGTAACTTCGTTTAGCTATGCAGGTTAGTGTTGATGGTTTGCTATGCTGCACAATATCAAGTGATCGTTCTGTGAAAATATATGATGTGGTCAACTATGACATGATGGTCATGATACGTCTTCCATATGTAGCTGGGTCTGTTGAATGGGTTTACAAACAAGGGGATGTCAAAGCCAAGCTTGCTATTAGTGATCGTAGCTCCTCATTTGTGCACATATATGATGCACGAAGTGGTTCAAATGAATCCATCATCTCTAGAGAGGTATTGGCTTCCTTAAGTTTTGCTTTGAGCCTTCAATATTGAGCCCCCTGCTCTAATTTTCCTTTAATATTTTTACCTAGCCTTAAGTATTATGTTTTAAACCTTTTCCCTTTCTTTTTCCCTCCAGATACAATTGGGTCCCATAAAAGTTATGAAGTACAACCTTATTTTTGATACAGTGGTATCTGCAGATGCCAAGGGAATCATTGAGTACTGGAACCCTTCTACACTTCAGTTCCCAGAGGACGGGTGTGTGTTTGTGTAGTGTTTCCATGCACGCGTGCACATTGTTATATATCCATAGAATGCCACTGTCTTGTGAAAAACTCAATTGACAATTTATGTTGGAACATATTCTAAAATTATGTTATGTTTTGATTCATGAAATAGATCCTATGGAAGTCAAGTATTAATTTTAGGAAAACTCAGCACCTAAATATTTGATAACTGAATGAAGCTATGAAGTTGTCTGTACTTTTTCTGTTGTTTTCAAATTCATATTTAGAATATGTTCGGTTTTGAGTGGGTCTGTAGCAGCTGTATTATTTACTGGTCATCTCAATCTCTCTTTTGCTAGCTAGCCTGTATATCATCTGCTCTGTGGGCAAGTCCACGGCTGAGACTGCAGTAGTTCAGAACTTTTTGTTTTACTATGTCTGTGCACTTGTTGTACATTCTCCTTTTGTATTTTGTCCTATGACGCATCGTTATGGATATGATATAAATAAAGATACAACAAAACCTTAAACAATAAGATAGGGATACAGCGAGGATATGCCAATAAATTAAAATCCTCGAAGAAATTCAATAAGAATTACAAGTGTTTTGATCAACATAAGAAGTTAGCAAGTAAGCTAGTACCAATAAAGCAGACACATATTATAGAACCATATAATAATGCAATTTGAATTTTTTTTCCTAGACCAAATAAAACACTAGCACATGAAATATCGTAGTAGACCAAACATGAATCCTGTTTGTTCACGAGCAACAATAAAAGTTTTGTTCTGTAATCACCTTGGTCGACATAAGAAAGTTTTTTGTCAATATCATCCCATTCTTCTTGGTCTATTGTGAAATGGATCAATTAAAAATCACTAAAAAATCAAATGACAAAATTTCCCTTCCGTCCCTTCAAATTTACAGTTTTATGCCATTCTGCTAATCCTGACCCTAGCCTTTTATTTCTATCATTTGTCTCTTTTTATTTTTTATTTTTTCTTCTTTCTTCTTCTTCATCTCTATCTTCTTCCTTGCTCCCATCACCACTCCAATTCCAACGTCACCCCCACCCCCACCTCCACCTCCACCTCCACCTCCACCTAGAGCAAGTGAGAAGAATAGGAAGACCAAAGACATGAAAAGGAGGGGGCTATAGCTAATCAATCAGCCTTTATAACCCCACTATTTTGTGTTTTGTAACAATTGTTGATTTTATTATTTATGTGATTGGCCTTTTTTTATGGTAAGTGTGTGTTCATATAAAAGAAATAATATACAAATATACAACGGGCATACCTTAGGCAATACGAGCAAGTGGATAACCCACACAAGTCTCCTAATAGAGGATTCTTAAATCAATATGTCCTTACTTAGTTGATAGAGGAACCCACCGACAATTCTAAACAAAACATGGCCATTTGGCCAGACAACGTACCCGTTGACCAGATAAGGCAAGCCAGTTGGCTAGGCAAATGATGATCACCAGCAACACAATGCAACCACTGAGATCCTGCTAAACTCTTCAGCAAATAAAAGCAATTAAAAAACACAATACAACCTCTCGCATTCACCAGCAGCTCAACTAGCTATTGACCCAAAACTGATTAGGGCCAGTTCCACTCTCTTTGTAATAGACAATTAGATGTATCCAGCTTTTAAAAATTAATTTAAATTTTTTCTGATATGGATGGCACAGGTCCAATCCGTATATATTGGTATCTGATATGTAGGAAATTTTGTGCTTCATAGATTTTGTTTGAAGGTATGCATTGTCTAGCAAACCAAATTATGTCTTGTGTCCCAATGAAGTTGGCCATGCACTGTCTATCATACTTTGAAATTAATAATATCATGTTAAATAGTTTATTGTTTAATCTGAAAGTTAGTTTGGTTTCCTAATTTTAAATGGTAACCATTTCGTTTTAAGTATTTTACTTCGTGTTACTTGCAGGGTGAATTTCAGATTGAAAAGCGATACCGATCTCTTTGAAATTGTAAAATGCAAAACAACTGTCTCTACTATTGAGGTAATATATGTATCTTATATAATTTCTTTGTTTCAGGCTGGATACTAGGACCAGCATATGAACTTGCTAAAAGAAATTATGTGCATCGCATGGTTGACATATTTGGGAATCCTGGATTAATCATAAGTTCATAACTGATATCAGTTCATGATATTGGATATAAATATATGTTTGTCTTATTCTTTCACTTTTACTACTTGTATTTGACGAAATTGCCTAATAATTGTTTCTGTCATCTTATTAATAACTGGGATATTCTTATTTGTTCCTCAGGTGAGCCCAGATGGTAAGCAATTTTCAATCACTTCACCTGATCGTAGGATACGTATTTTTTGGTTTAGAACAGGTAAATTAAGACGAGTTTATGATGAATCTCTTGAGGTAATGGTAGCTTCCTGTAGACTCTACAACATATATTTGCATTTAGATATCCTTGCTTTAATCAAATCTTCTGCATCCTTTAGGTGGCACAAGATCTCCAGAGAAGTGATGTCCCCCTGTACCGGCTGGAAGCTATTGATTTTGGGCGAAGAATGGCTGTAGAGAAGGAAATTGAAAAAACAGAAACTGCACCTCAACCAAATGCAGTTTTTGATGAAAGCTCTAACTTTCTCATATATGCAACCCTCCTTGGGATTAAAGTAAGACTTAATATGTCCTTCAACTTCAAGTAGATGCATTTTAGGTCCTTTGTTGTTTTCCTGCAATAGAGTTTTTCCTATTTGGTTTTTTGCCTTTTAAAAAAGCATTACATGTTTGTTTGCATTTTAGATCTTTTAAACATCTTTTTGTCTACTTAATGGGATTTTTTTTTTTTTTTAATTCTTTGTCTTTTTTTATTTGTATTGATAGATTGTAAATTTGCACACCAATAAAGTGGCCCGAATTCTTGGAAAGGTGGAGAACAATGATAGATTCTTAAGTATTGCCTTGTATCAAGGTGACCGAAGCAGTAAAAAAGTACGAAAAATCCCTGCTGCTGCAGCAAATGTCAATGAGAGCAAAGAGCCTTTGACAGATCCCACTCTTTTATGCTGTGCTTTCAAAAAGCACAGGATCTATTTGTTCAGGTACCAGATTTTGAGACACCTAATGCCTGTCTGAACTCAAGGTTTCTGTTAAAAGCATGGGTAATTCCATTAGAGGTGGCATTAAGAAATTACATGTCATGTTGTTGGTTGTCATTTAATTTGTGTTGTCAATAAGCAAGCATGTGAAGACACATCAGAACTACTGTGGTTCTTGAATTTTGCCTGTCATTTTTCTGGGTGATCCCGCCTATTGTGGTTGCATTGCATCATCCATTGGTTACATGTTAATAACTTTGCTTAAAATTCCCAGAACTTGATAATGTGAAGCTTGTTTGAATATGACATTTCACCTCAGTGGATTCAAATACCCTGTGCTTTATGTCCTATTGTGCTTTATGTTTGAATATGACATTTTTATAATTTTTGTATGATGAGTTTCTTACTCCTTATTTTATTATGGTCTTAATAGTCGGAGAGAACCAGAGGAACCTGAAGATCCAACTAAGGGAAGGGATGTGTTTAATGAGAAGCCTCCTCCTGATGAACTTTTGGCTGTATCAGAAATAGGAAAATCTACTACGACATCTCTTCCAGATAATGTGGTAGGTTTTCTATTTTTTTTAGTCACTGATATTTGGTTGCCTTGTTCTTTGCCTGCTACCTTGTGGATGATGTCATGTCAGAGATCATGTGGAAAAATCATATGCTGGACTGTCCATTTCTTTGATACTTGTATTAGAAGATTAAGTCCCATCAAATTTCAATGTGGACAATTAAGTCTTATTTTTCATAACTTATTCCCAAAAAGTTCTATTTCTCCTAATGGCACATTTTATTCCAATTTCACCCTTATTAAAATATGAATAACAATTGTATAAACAAATTTAATTTACTTAAAAATTATATATTTTAATTGTAAACAAAATCATAAACAACAATTTGATCAAAAGAACTATGGCATAAGATTCATCATTTTCTGTTGCCTCGCACTATGAAAAATATATTTAGTAAACGATCCAAAATGCCTAATTTTATTATGTGGGAAATAACATCGTGGCAAATCCATATATTTTTCAGAGCATGAGACAACATAATATGATGAATCTTGTTCCTAGTGCTTTTGTTTAATAGAATTTGCTTATTTTGAAATTTAAATTTATTTGAATAAATTAAAAGTTTTATAAAATTAAAATTTCTATCTCCACTCAATCATTTTTTGAAGAACTCCTAGAAGTGCTAATTAGTATCTGCCTTGTAGTTTTTGAACAAATAATGTAATTACTTTCAGCATTTCAAAGAAATGTAATTACTCTCAGATGATACAGTTTTGCGTTTACTCCCTGGTTTTGACTATGGTTTGCTGACCATGTGCTCGTTTACTGGTTTTCCTTTGTTCTTTCCTTGTGTCATGTTAAGTTGTGTTTTAATCTTATTTCCTTTTCTGAATTTCCTTTTTGTCAGCTCATGCACACTACACTGGGTGACATTCACATGAAGCTCTACCCTGAAGAATGTCCAAAAACAGTGGAGAACTTTACTACTCACTGCAGAAATGGCTACTATGATAATCTGATTTTCCACCGGGTCATCAAAGGCTTTATGATACAGACGGGAGATCCTTTGGGGGATGGCACTGGTGGGCAGTCTATTTGGGGAAGGGAATTTGAGGACGAATTTCACAAAAGGTGAGGACTTGCTTTTGAGCCATTATTGAGCCATTGTCCTATGAATACATGCACCATATAATTTTTATTCTTCAATTAGAGGTTTAGTGCAGTGTACTCTCTTGAAAATTTTACTTTCAATGGGGTTTTCTTCCATGTTTTGGTGTGTGTGTGTGTTTGTGTGAGTGTGAGTGTGTGTATGCACCTTGCGAAATAATTTTATAGTCTGTGAGTGATGGTTAGATCATAGATGAGATTTTAATTACCTCATCCATGGCGGAATTTGGTTCATGAAGAATATGGATGTGGAATGTGTTCTCAAGTGTTTTATCGATATGTCGTCAATTCTAGCATTAAAAAGAATTGAATGCTGATACTTTCGATTAAACTAAATGAGGTTGACCATTAAAGACTTGAGTGTTTGTACTTGTGTGTGTACCGTTTGCAGATTAGTTTTATCCCTGTCAAATGGTTTACCAGTGCAAATGCAATTTACCTTTGTTGAACTGAATTTTGCTGGTGTCTGCAGTTTACGACATGACCGGCCTTTCACTGTTTCAATGGCAAACGCTGGGCCCAACACCAATGGCTCTCAGTTTTTTATCACTACAGTGGCAACTCCATGGCTGGACAATAAGCACACTGTTTTTGGTAGAGTTATAAAGGGGATGGACGTTGTACAGGTACAAACTTGCCCATCTATACTCACCATTTACCTACTTTTTACAAATAATTTCATAAAAATTTTTTTTATGAGACCCTTGAAAATTATTTATGCTATGTGGCACAACACAGCACCACCAGGCTCCTTGGTGTTTAACACCTCAATGATAATGTAGTAAAGCAAAAGAGAATTTAATAGAGATTCCTGGGTGTTGGATTTGTGAGTTTCATTATTTATTTGTTGGGTCTGTGAGGCATATATTGCCACGCAGTTTAGGACCATTTTGAATTTTGACATTGTTTATGTGCATGACTTGCTTATAACCCTCAATCAATCTATATGTCTTAGATATACCTCATTTGGGATTCAATCATTGGTGATGACAGGCTATAGAGAAAGTGAAGACAGACAGGTCCGACAAGCCATACCAAGATGTGAAAATCCTAAATGTGACTGTTCCGAAGTCATAAAGGCTATTTATGTAATTGTGGTTCTGTACACATTATATTGCTGATCCTTATGGGCAGTCATGGGTGACAAAGTTCTACGTTAGGTAAATACACGGTAAGTTTATTTTTTGTGACAGTGATGTGTGTTTATTCTGTGATTGAATGTTCTCTATTGAATTAATTCCACCTTGCCCCCATGCAGCCCGTGGGCTGGGTGCCAAAAAAAATACTATATTGATGAGACAAGATCTTTGAGGAACCTAAATTATCTTTATGTTTCTTTCTTTCTTTTTCTTTATTTATTTTCACTTACTTGTCAATATGTTTTTCTATCCATATAGAAAAAAGGGGGATAAATTGACATCGGCCTAATGCTTTTAACCCTCCTTGCCTTGAAAGGATGCAAAAGCTTCCCCTTTGGCTTTTGCCCTTGTCTTTCTTAGTGCTTTTGTTTAACATCGGAGCATGTGAAAAGCTGACCAAGTTTAGATAAGAAATGATTTTTTTATGAATTGCAAACTGCACCAAATAGTCTGACATAAATTTTCTAAATAATAAAAAAAACTGTCAGCAACCATATAAGCTGCACCAAGTAGAGCCTTAGCTCATTTTTTGTTAGATTTTGGTAGGATACATTCCCATTGGTCACGGTTTTGTGATTGTCTGTTTCTTTGTTATTTCTGCAGAATCATTGAAGATTTGGTTACTTTGCCGCAGCTATGTTCTCCCAACTGCCAGTGGAGAGCCTGCCAATCAATCCAGAGAACGATAACTTGTCTCAAACTGTATTTCTATCACCGTAATGGAATTTTGATCTTGTCTTCTTAGTAGGACTGCTGACAAAATGTTGTATCATATATTTTATTTGTGTTGGATAGTGAAAATATAAAATAGGTAGGATGTTACATGCCCATGACAAGGAATTAGCTGTAAGGAAGTCAGACATGGTTGTGGGCATTGTTTGGTTTAACTATCTAAACAAAATTTTTGAAAAAAAAAAAATTTAAAATTTTGTTTGGTTGGAAATTTGTTGAAAAAAAAATTCCAAAATCATTCTCTCTCATACACATCAATCAATCACTGTTTTTCTTTCCTCTCTCATTTTCAATTACTTTTTTTTTCACATACATTTACTCAATTACAAGAAAATATCAAATCATTCTAAACTTCTAAATTCTAAAACTATTTTCAAAATATATAACCAAATAAATCCAAAAAAAATTAAAACTTTTTCTTCAAATTTGTTTTTGAAAATTTATCTCAAAACACAAACCAAACACAATGTTCTGGGTATGCTTTAGGGAGAAGCTATGTTACAAAAAATTTGGCTGTATTTTGGTAGGTTACACTGAATCAGGATCCTCTAAAGTATTGCTCGTAAAGTGTGTTGATCCAATGGTTGAAAATGTAACTAACCAAAACGAGTGTGTTGATCCAATGGTTGAAAATGTAACTAACCAAAACGACGTCGTTTTGGTTAGTAATTTTAAAAAAAAAAAAAAAAAAAACACATTTTTGCTTTCATTCAAAATTTCCTCAGATCTGTGATACGTGAAGCATTAGAGAGAGAGAGAGAGAGGAGGAGCTTCCGATCCACCCCCGACTCGCTGCTGCCCCGTCATACTCCAGCAGATTGAAGGAAAAGAGCATAGGGTCGTTCATCCTCCAAACTTAAAATATTAGGACTTTGAATCCAAAAATTAGGGAAAATCTGAACTTGGTACACTCATTCATTCTAAATGTGATCATGATGTTTATACAAGAATCTTTGTGTATGTAGTGTTTTGTTAATCCAAAGTTGAATCTATGGTGACCCATTTGGTTAATTGCGCTCTTGTTGATGTTATATTGTCAATTAGAAAAGTGCGGAACTTGATCTCTTTCAACGATCATTCTCTCTCTACACTAACCCTCCATGCGTTTGAAATCAATGGCGTTTCAAATCTAATGAATATTTACGAATCTTAGTTCTTCATGTTCTTCCATTGTCATACAATTTTTTATTTTATTTTATTTTAATTTAATTTTTGTTCTCTGTTTTGCTTTCAGTTTAATTTTACTTGGCTTTTGGAATTTTGTTTTTTGAGATATGGTTAAAAAAAAAAATTGAATTTCATATAGGATCTCACATTGGGGGAAGGGAAATGTTTTGGTAGGTCAAAATTTTCAATTGTAGTACAAAAACCCTAATGGAAAATACTGGAATAGAACAATTTGATGAGAAATTTAACAAACTTATGTGTGAATTAGAAATTGAAAGCCTTATTTTTGGTGTTTTTGGTGAACTGGGTATATTTTATTCTTCAATTTGCAATTGGGTCTTTGTGGGTATGATGATGATAGTTGTTACAGGGCTAATCTTTTTATTTACTTCTCATTCTATTGAGGCTTTGGAATTCTCGAGACATATTGGAATTTAGAGTTTAAAAAAATATTTCCTCTTTCACATCATTTGCTACTTTGAGATGACAAAAAGTGTATACATATTTCGTGTATTTGGATTATGGATTTTAAGGAAAAAAGATTTGATAACTTATTGTTCAAGGGGACAACTCAAATTTAAATTTGGTTGTTGATTGACTTTGAGAGTTTTGTCGTGACTCGTGATAAATTATAATGGATTTGAAATAACAATGCACATATTCTAATTGGGTAAAATCATAGGAAAATACTTATCTTTTAACTTAAATCTTTCTTCCCCATTAGTTTTTTCAGTCTATCAATAATAAACTCTCCTACATTTTTAGAAAAGTTTAATCCGGAATCCACTAGTTTGAAAACCATCCATCCAAACGGTGCCTTAATTCCTTTCATCCAATGGCCCTTGTTATTTCTAACTGTATATTTTTATGACTCAGAGAAGGATATAAATAAATTGACAATACTCGAAAATGCAACACTAGCAATTAAAGGGTTCATGCATACTTATTCTGATAATGCCTTTCATAAATCAAAACAACATATTACCATATCTAAACATTTCATACCAATAAGAAATATATATCAAAATCCACTGATCAAAGTTGGTTGTAGACTTTGATTTTTTTCCCCCCAAAACTAATTACTTAATGCTCGATATTAGTTTTGCAGGTTATGGGCAAAACTATTTTATGGATGAGACTTTAACTTATGGACAAATCATTGGATCACAATACCACACAGAGCATGACTGAATATTTATAAATTTCCTACTCCCATTACCCATTTCATGTACTTATTTACCTTTATAGATGGCAGGATTCACTTCCATTACCCATTTCATGTGATTTAGAATTTGAGTCCTACTCATTTTTGTTCCATTGTTGTTATGTCAGGTAAAAAAATGTCAACATCAAATGCATCTATGACTGATATTAGTGAAATTCAGTTTAGAAATCGAAAATGTCGTTGCGGGGTGAGAGCAGCATTCAGGATTTCAGAGTCAAAGTACAATCCAGGGATGGTATACTTTGCTTGCCCTTCAAACAACACCAATGGATATGGCTTCTTTGAGTGGTGGATGCCTGTACATAAGCAGCGTCAATGGCTGAAGATGATAAGGGAGGAAAACGACGACAATTGTAATATCAATCATTTGGTCAACGAAGTGATTGTATCCAATGATGAGATGAAAGAGATAGTTACAAAGTTTACGAAAGAATGTAAACAAATGGTTGTAGAGATTACTTTTCTTTGCCAACGCAAGCTCCAAACCACCTTTTGTCCGTCTTCGTCCCTTGCTAATGCACTCTCTTCGTTTGAGTCATTTTGCTTGAACTACATTTGTATCCACTACACCATCCACTTCAAAGCTTTCGAGGCATGTGTCGGGAGGCTTTCTTGTTCAATAGTATCTGAAAAAGGTATATTGAATTTTGCGCTTAACATGCTTTCAATGTTTGCAATTAAGTCATCCGCTTTCTCTACCGGCAAGTTATATGTTTTCTCACTTTCGGAAGCTCTACACGCTACTACTCTAAAAATTGCCATCAATGATCTAAAGCGTGAAGTTTGACGCAATCTTGCATCAACCTTAATATCATGCCCACACCTATCTTTCACATTTTCAGCTCTTGCTTTTTTAGTCCATCTCTTGAGAATATATTGGGAAGGAATCTCTTTGAATTTGAGGGTTTCTTTAAGGATCTTCAAACAATGACTACACAAAATGCCTTTCATTTCAAACTTCCTACAATTGCAAGTGAGTGAACCATCACACTCCACTGTCACCTTCCTCACCTTTACACCATCACCATCAAGAACCGTATAAATGGTACTCTCACCACAAATTCCAGTTTCTTCAATATTTACTTCAAGGGACTTGACATACTTATCTTGAAGTTTTTCATAAATTTTATTTGTGTAAACATTTGCAACTTGCTCCATAATCTTCACTTTAATATTCACCCTTGGCAACTTTTGGCATAGAGCATATTCGGCTTGTAACTCTTTGTACCTCTTCTCGCAAAGAACTCGATCAAAATGCATGAAAAATTGCATTAAGTTATGATCAGACTGAATGAAATCCTTCAAGAATGCATTAAAGGATTCACTAAGTTGGGTGCTACTCATACCCGTACCCCATGCATTTCTAACATATGGCCAATCCCATTTTTCCTTGACTCCAAATGTTAACTTCAACCAATGATTATCTCGCACTTCATACTTGTCAAGTATTTCCTCCATTTTTAACGTAAAATCATCCTCATTCTCAATGTCGTACATAAATTTGGATAAAACACTCTTCATCCCCTTATCCTTCACCTTCTTATCCTTGAAGATAGAATTTGCATGCCTTAATGCATTTTGCATCAAATGCCAAGTGCAAACGCGGTGTTTTGTGTTAGGCATGACAATAGGTATGGCCTTAGCCATTGCAGCATCTTGATCCGTAAAAAATTTTTTCGAAGCCTTACTTGACATTGCCTCCAAGAATCTTCTAAAAAGCCATATAAAAGAATCAGCAGTCTCATTATACATCAAAGCTGCGCCAAATATAACAGTTTCCCTATGATGGTTAAATCCAACGAAAGATGCAAATGGTCTATGTGCACTATTTAACTTGTAAGTAGTGTCGAAAGTCACAATATCACCAAATTGCCCATAATCCACAATCATTTGAGCATCGGCCCAAAATATGTTTGTAATCTGCTCCTCACTATCTAATTGGACCGAGTAAAAAAAAGATGGATTCTCTAATGTCTTCTCACGAAAATATTGCAAAATGCTACCTGCCTTTTCATATGCTAAACTCTTTTGCCTCTTCGTTCTCAAATAATTTTTTTGGTCCACTTTTGTGAACCCAAGCGACGCCCTTCCACCAGCTTCATTACCTATGAGCTCAAATGCAACATTAAGCCGGATTCTAGATTTTTCGGCTCAATCTATTTCGGTTGCCTGTGATGCAGATATCTTCCTTTGGGATGGTAACATATGCGTGCATTCTGTTGGTACAAAAATATGATTATGTTGTTCAGCAAACTCACCAACAAAAAATTTATGAATATTCCTATCCCACTTAATGATAAGTCGGGCTTGACAACCAGTCCTCACTTCCTGCCTAGGATTTTTTGTTAATGGATCTCGCATGTCTACACTCCGAAACCCCTCCTTATTATAAACAAATAGCCTTGAAGTGATTTGCCCCTCCTTGTTCTTGTTTACATAACCCCTTCTAATACTAAACCCTATCCTTCATCCATAAGCATTATAGAAATTATATGCTTCTTGTTCTGTATCAAATGTCATGTGAACTCTAGGCTTCCAATCACAATCACCCCCGCCATTCTCAACATTGTTAGACTCCATATCAATGTGCCAAGTCACTTAAAAAAAAAAAAGTACTTAATATTAGCATAAAAACTTTAAATTATGTTTGCAAAATAATACAAACTAAGTAAAAACACTACAAGAATTGAATCATATTAGATTATATAAACAAAGGGGCACAAATCCCTTCAATGGTAAATTATGTTTTAAATGATCCAGATTGAACACAAATTCCTTAATTTTCTTATAATCAACATGTGAACATACAAAATCAAAATTAAAATTAAACAACAAAAACAAACAAAATAAACGGATGAATGAAATGTAAGATATTTCTATTTATATACATTATCTTTGACTGCACCAAATGTTTAAAAAACAAACATCACTTATCAGCTAAAGTGATAACCATAATAATAAACCATGACGATAATTTTTAATCTAGGTCAGTTAAAGCTGATTTTTTTGTTTTCATTTATTTTTAACCATCCTTATTAAAGAAAATGCCAACAAGTTTCCACACCTCCACAGCAAACAAAAAGAAAGGGGTAAGAAAATCAACCAAATGGCTATAACCTACAATTGCACAATATTGATCAAGATAATATCTAAATTACTAATATGAAATAAAAAAATAAATAAGGTTTGCCCAAAAGCACATCCTATAAATGATGTGCAAAAAGCATAGAAGGGTTATAAACTTATAGTTAAACAATACATATACTGAATTCATGACAACCATGATCAACTCAAAAAATGATCTTCATTTTCTTGACAAAGTAATCGTCAAGCTCATCTTTCTCAATCTGAGTAAAGGCCGGTCATCTTGCTAAGCCAGAACAATGCAAAAAAAAAAATAAAAAAAAAAACTGAATTTCAAATTTAATAACAGAATGAGGTACCATAAACAATCAACTCTACAAGTTTGGAGCTAATCAATAAATCTTTATATTGTAAAATTAACAAGATTTTCATTCAAAATTCGGAAATTAAGCAACTCGATCCATCATCATGAGAAACTACAACAAAAATCATAATAAATTCAATCTTCCATGAAGTAACACAATGGCAACCACACAAAAACCTCAAAAGTACATAAAAATTTGAGTCAAAAAAATTCTAGGGATTATAAAGTACATAAAAATAAAATAAAGTGCAGAGATTGGGGTTGTACGAGCACGAAATAATCTTCTCGTATAATCCTGTTGATCAAGTTTGCACTCCTCCAAACGTCGTCGCTTTACTCATTGAAAACACAAACGTGAGCTAGCCGGCGGTTGTGTACCGGATACCTCTCCGATGCCTAAGTCAGCAAAATAGACAAATAGATAAAAACTCTGCGTATTCGGGAATCAAAGTTGTGTTACCTCTACATAGGTTCTGTAGTGAGCTTTTATAACTTTCGCTTGGCACAATCCTAGTAGGATTCTTATTCCTCCATGTAGAGTCCTCCTAGGAATCACACTCCTGAAAGATAATGCTCATCCTTCAACAACCCCCTCACTGCTTAAACCAAGTGAGATGGTTTTACCTCGGTTGGATAACAGTATGACCGAGCTAATACTAGCCCTTTGTCATACTCAATAAAGTGTCTTCCCATGTATTGCATAGCTCGGCTATTGTTCACTTGTACTTCGGTTTTGGCTATTGAGACCGAGCTAACCATAACAAGTCTTGACTGAGCTAACAAGAGCAAGGTTCACCACAAGAAGCCCAAATATCTTGGCTCCAAATACTTTGACCGAGATAATTACCCCTATTCCGACCGTGGTGACTGTAACCTCTTGGACTGAGCTAACACTATGGTCGACTTCACTAAGCCCTTTTTACCCCGACCCATAAAGCAGCCCCTCACTACGCCTAGGCCTAGCTCGGCTCTAATGCATATAAAAACTCCCTCTCAATTGCCCCTTAATTCCATCTGCCATGCATGATTTGGGATTACCTTTTTATCAGCCAAGCTAAAAGTGGCCTTCAACCGAGCTAAATTGATACCGGGCTACTAATTTGTCCGGTCCAAACGTCTTTTCAGTCACTGCATAACTGAATCGCTTACGATTCTCTTGGACACGTGGCTAGCTTTTATTGGTCAAATACAGTTGCCACGCCGCCTTCGTACTTCGCAAAATTTGAACAGTCCCGCCCAAATTCATGCTCTTCACAAAAAACCCTACTCTTCGAACCAAACATACCACTATTCACCATCTTCTCTCTCTACCTTCTGAGCCTCCATTTTTTCTCAACACTACATCTGCAAAGCTCGTGTTTTCTGCTGGTACTGTTTCAATCTTCAATCCCCCCATCTTGAACTGGTACGTGGATCAAATCTCTTCTCTTTCCTTCGTTCACTTTTCGAATATATATAATATAGATGCATATACTCATATATTCTACAAAACACACTCTATAGTTTTGATGAAATGGGTAAAAACAGATAGTACCAAAAACCAGACCCCCAAACCATAGGTTCGTGCTTAAGAACACACCCTCTGGATTCCAAAAACATGAAGTTTGGATCTAGAATCGTGGTGTAACCGAGCTAAAAACCTGTTTGGGCAACTCAAGGCTTAGGTACAACCAAACTAGGGAACTTTTTAGGTGTGCACCCAGCCAAACTAGATAACTTTCCCAATAACCGAACTAAAACTTCACGCCACTCTTTGGTTTCAATCAGTCTAAGAACCTTCCATTTCATTTTGCAGAGCTAAAATTCTTCGCTCCAACTGAACTAAGAATGGATAGTATCCCACATAACCGAGCTAGGCTTTACATTCATTTTTGCCTTTATACTTAGCGCGATCCAACGATTTGGGCTTAACACTTCTCATTTCCACTTTGCAAACTCTGACTAGGTTGGGCAGGCACTCCCTTGCACGTTCAACCGAGATACTCAACGCCATCTCAGCACCAAGCTAGCGCTTCAGGCTAAATTATACATAATTTAAGTCCACATGGGCAAATATAGATTTTTAGTAAACTCTCTAGGGGCTATAGCCGAGTTCCAAAGGGACTACAACATCCCTGATGATGTTCATCTCAATTTAGCCGAACTAGACACCACTCCCTGGGGAAAATCAGGCTTCGTTCGTTTCTCCGTCATATCCATTGTAGAGGCTGGTCTCTGTTTTCCCGTTTAGCCTCTTCTTTGTGAATTCCTTAGACAAACAAGACTTTGCCCTACCTAGCTTTCCACAAATTCGTACAGAATAATAAATGGCATCGCCCAGCTAAACCACCAGCTTGGCCTCAACCTCAGTTTAGCCGAGCTATTTCATCAATACTCCCTCGGCCAGAATAAAGATGGCTGGTTGTATTACTTAAGAATAAGATGCCGCCGAGAGAAAATAATTAAAAATACACCAGACAAAGATGTGAATGACGATGATTTTTTCTAGGTCTCGAGCAACTTTGAAGACCAGGAGGCCCAGATACCGGGCGACCGAATTAACTGGAATAAGGGAGTAGCTGGTATGAATACCTCGATTTTAGCTTCGTGCGTTCTTTGCTCTGTTTATTAGTTTTGCACCGTGCTAACCGTTGCTTTTTTCCTTATGCAGACTTGGACCATCTAAAGTCGCAGTACAGTTACCCCAATCTAGACGCACTCCGCGCCACGCTGCGGTACTACGATCGAGGCTGGGCTGAGCCACTCAACTTTGAACCGACATACAGATACAATAGTAGAAGGAAGACCAGGGTAACAGATTTCCTTCTGGAACACTCTCCAGAACCAGATGCAACACTACCTCAAATCAATCTGATCCCATTAACAGCGGAACAAGAAATGGCCAAGAAGATAGCAGTTAGGGCCCTCATTACCGAAACAACTGCATCAGCCGTTGGGGACCAAACCGTGGTACAACAAACTGGCCAAACACAAGAGGCCGTGGTAGTGCTTCCAACAGCCTGGCCGTCGTCATCTTGGCCCAGTAAGCGCGCTCGCACCTCCGTGACCGAGCAACGTCTTGTTGATGAAGACGATACTGAGCTCCCCCAATCCACCCGACCGAGCCCAGAACCAGAGCGTTCTGACCGGGCTGGCTCTTTAGAGTGGGAGATAAAGGTGACCTATAAGAACCGAGCCATAACGAACACGGATTCAGTGGTCGCAGAAAAAAACCATTCACTGTCTTTTAACCTCGCTAATAGCGTATGCCTACCAGCCGATATGGAGCATCATGACCATCTCACCGAGCTGAAGGCCATTCGCTCGGCAACAAAATCGATGGTGCTGGTAAGTTCTCCTTTTGCTTGTCTTTCTAATTTGTACATCTGTTAGCGCGGTTTTACTAATAACTGTTCTCTCTGCTTTGTAGGCCTTGCAAAAGAACCACATCGCTCACAAGCGA